ATATTGGAGGAACCTTTGTTCTGCACAAGGTTGCTGGAATCCCCTTGAGGAGAAGAGTTGATCGGAGCAGCAGCTTTTTATGGTGAAGTCGAAGTGGTAAGAGCTGGATTCAAAATATCCTGCAGAGGCAAAAGAATATTAAAAGCATGCACCAAGGTAATGAATAATTATTTTGTCAAAGATTTAAAGTTCAATTTACCTGTGGACTCTCAGAAGAGAGGTTGCTAGCTATGCGTTCCAATATTACGTTGGAGGTCGAAGATGGAATTTTGGATTTAGGTGAGGGAGCAGCATCCCTGGAATCGAGTCTAGAGACACTAGTTGGTACAGCACTTTTGGAAATTTCCTTCTTCTGCTTCTTCTTCGAAGCAGCTGGTAAATTCCCTCCAGCATTGGGGTCTTCCCCAATAGTGTTTGTTTTTCGTTTCTTTGGAGTTGTTGGCGGGAGTTTGTTAGTCTGAAAAGATTTAAACAATAAGTTAGATGCAAATCATGAAACATTAGTGTATTCGAAACATCAAGGCTAAGTGATTACCTGTGGAGTTGGAGCACTGGTTATTACTGGTGTTGTTGTTGTTGGTGGTGGTGCAGCAGTTGTTGTTGGTTTGGATAGAGTCACAGTATCAATGGTTTCGACAGAGGCCTGAGAGGCGCTCCCTTCTTTTGACTTTGAAGCAGCAGTCTTTATCCTGATGGCTGGAAATCGAAACAATTAAGGCAAAAGTTAAAAATGTAGAAAATGAGAAACATTTGGGATTTTCCCAAGCATTCGTACCTGTGCCTTGATCAGATTTAATCGACATGGCAGAAAGGTCATAGCGAAGATGTCCTGGGAAATCGTGGAGCCAATGTCGAGCCCATGTCACAGTCTCAGATGGCTTTGGTTTCTTTTGAAGATATTTGAACATTTCTTTGCAAGTGAACCACCAAGGGTATGGAGGAAACCAAGCCAGAGCTAGTTCTGAGGTAGGTAATCTAGGAAATTTAGGTGGATGCATTTCGAATGCCAACCTATACCTATCCTCAGGTGACAACCCTGAAGGAAGTTTTAACTTAGAAATTTTTTCTTTGAATTTTTCCTTCAAGGTCTCAGCCGCTTGATGCACAGTGGATTCCAAGTGTGTGGGATCATAAGTAGTTTCGAAATAATTTTGAAAAGCCTTAATCTCTTTGGCATGAGTGAACATACCTTTCTTGGATTGTACCTGCACATCGAATGCATCAGTTAGTTTCTGCTGAATAGTAAGAGTATCGAACATATAAGTCTGATAGAACTTTGTCCACCATTCCAGAAACCCCTTTGCTGTAAGGTGTGTAGGTTCGAAAGTTATTAGTTCAAAGTGGGCGAAGCCTTGGTATTGTTCCTGCTGTAGTTTGGCTTCTCTTGCCTTGAAGGTTTGCCCAGAGGTGATGGCATTTTCTGTTTGGAATAGGGGTTCAGGGATTAGTTGGCACAAGCCAAATTGTCTCGAAACGAAGTTGGGTTGATAAGCAAAAAGGAAGATTTGATTCTTAGCAGGAGTAATTCGTGAAGAGATTAGTCTGGGTAGCAAAAAGGCTCTCCATACATCTTGAATTTCTTTGCTTTTGACTGCTTCTGAGAGAGCCATGGTGAACCATGAGGGCCCATGAGTCCTCGAAGCAAAAGGTGCCATGGTCTCTTCGAATTTATGCCTCTTGGAGAAAATCATGATATATTTTGAGAAGAGAACTTTGAAGTCATCCTTATCATTGTTTGGGGTAAGTCTTCGCAGCCTAGTGCCTTCGATGATTCTATCCGCTATTTCTGGGTCTTGTTCAACAATAGTGTTGGCAGTTGATAGTGAAGGTTCGAACATGGCATTTAGCCATAACTGGAGTAACCAGAAAGGGCCAGCTAGCAGGATGTTTTTGGAGGTGTGAGATTTCAAACTCGAAACAGCTGACCTTAGACTTTCGTAAAGATCAACTAATAGCAGTTCGCTTAAACACACCCTCCGATTCTCATGCAAATCTCTAGCTAGAGGAATAAACCTACTGGCTACCTGTAGGGATCTGCTGCAAAAGACATACCTTGACAACCATAAGGTAAGGAAAGCAATGTGTTCCACATCCGACACACTGTCCCCTTCAGTGTGATAGTGGCTGATAAACTTTGAAAAGCTAGCTAGCTTGACTTCGAAGTCAATAATACTCGAATGCTCTTCATTGTCAGGAATATAGGTTTCTCCTATTGGTGATAACCCAATAATGGTTGCTATGTCAAAAAAGATGGGTGTAATCATTCCACCAGGGAGATGGAAAGTATTGTAAGTACTGTCCCAGAAATATAGGGACGTGAATAACAATGGGTGGCTATAGGTAAGACCTGGTTTCGATAGTTTAATCAAGTTGTAAATGCCTAATTCTTCCCATTGCTGGGATTTCTTAGCTTCTACTTTATTAAACCAGTTGTGATAAGCTGTGTCGGAGGTGGGGCAAGATCGAAATGGTTTGAAGTTACTCTTTACATAATCTAGCATAAAAGGGTCCTTAGGGGGAATGATTGGATTTTCCACGGTGGTTGAATCAGAAGACTCTATTGTCTTAGGGGTATCTATTTTATTAAACAGAGGTTTAAAATTATAACAAACAGGGAAAATTTTTCTGGTGTCTTTTAAGATTTCAAAGACTGTAAGAGGGCCCATTAAAGCTAACCTCTTGCCAGCGGCGTTAGTAGGAATGAGTACCTGGGATGCATAGAGCATTTCCTTCTCTTTTGAGATCATCTGAGGAATAAGAACCGATTGACCTTGGTAGGTGCCAACCTTGCTTTCCATTATGGTTCCTGTGGTCTTTCCTTTCTTTTTGGAAGCCTTTTTCAGTTGAGATGAAGTTGAAGAAGACATTGTTGGAAGAATGTTGGGAGTTTAGGGTTTCGGTGAGAAAAGAGGAAGAAAAGATTCAGAATGTGGGAAGAAAAGAAAAGACTAAGTTGATGGGTTTTTATAGTGTGGAAGTTTAAACATCCACTGAGTAAGATTGTGATACGTGGTAGTCGTGGGTTGGTTTGAGAAGGAGGTGGCGTAAAGTTAATATTGGTAATAGGCGTGATTAAATGATAATAATTGTTTTGTAACTGCACCATGCTGTGAAATGGTTCAAGGCGGTTAAGGAATCTGAAAAGCGTTGTGATTGACGTGACTGGAGTCATATGCAATAAATGTTACGATGATTCGAAAGTCACATCAAAATCTTGTGTGTATGTTTAAAATAAGTATTTCTCAAAGGAATCGAAATACATATTTTAAAGGGGCATTTTGTTGGCTGAAGATTTTGATGATATTATTAGAAGCGAAGCAAATTGGACGTTTCGATTGGAATAAAGCAAGATGTCATGTTTCGAAATGGTAGAAGCAGTGCTTCGAATGGGCATATCAAAGCTTGGAGCTTCGAGTGACAGTTATGAGAATATATTCAAAGAAGTCTCGAAATGATAACAAGGCTGTGTCCAAGAAATGCGTTCGAAGCGAAGAAGTGCCAAAACATTTGAAATTCAAATGCAAGCGGGATGTTCGAAATTTAAAATATATGCGCTGGAGCATTCGAAGACGCGTGGAAGCTAGAGAGAGGCATTGCTTTGCATGTTCTGAACGTGGCAGAATCTTATAGCAAGACCGTTATGGTCGAAGTAGTATAAATAGAAGTCTTAGCATTAGGATTTCGTGTGTCATATCTATTGTACAAAAAACTCAGTAAACATTCAAAATACCACATGGCTAGGGAAACGAATGCACGAGCAATGTACGTATGATAACACCAAGTGTTTATGATTTAATGAAACTCTTTATCATTTCCAGTATTTTTCTTTATCTTCATGTCAATACCATTCAAAAGCTTTTGCACTAAAATGTTTTCGTTCGAAGTCTTTTTACTGATGCCTTACATTTAAATGTTCTCTTCCCATTTCAAATACTTTACATTTCAGAAACTGTTGTACATTTCATGCCTTTATCTTCAAGCTTTTATCATTCGAACACCTTTTTTCACCTAAAGTCATTTTACTGTTTTCTTGCATTTAAACGCTTTCTTCATATTTCGAATCTTTTACATTCCAGAGAATCTTTTACATTACATGTTTTTATGCTTCGAAGTCATTTACTTGTCTTTTATGCAGTTTTATATGTCTTTACAATTGAACTTTATTCATGCAATTTAGTTTCGCGCACATTTACTTGATCACGCCCTTAGATCTTTAATAGAGTAATCGAAGTAAGTTAAACACCTACACAACATTCTAAATACCAACCATGAATACCAGTTCTATAATGAGAGTTATCCAAATGACCAATACATCCTAGGATCAATCTAGTCGATCCTGCGAGTTACCAGAGAGATTGAATAACAGTCATTAAGATTATTCGATAGTTTGGAAGACTAGCGGTTGTTTACCAGAAATCACTGTAAACAGTATGCTCGAGCGTCAAAAGCTTAAGTGTTTGTTTGTATCGCGTTCGAATGTATAAAACATTATTCGTTTGTGAAAAAGTTTGCAGTTGCGTTGATGCGGATAAAGATAGGTTTGATGGGTTGAATTTTTTAAAGTGTTATAGCCATTGCATGCAACACTAACCTTGAGCCATTCCATATTCTACTTCATACACACCAGAAAAACATTAGCATGCATGGTTGAAATTAATCTTCATTTTAACCACCCTCAAAACACCTTTAGTCACATCTGAAAAGAATATGATGATGAAAGAGTTTCATAACTTTCTGGTTTACAAAAAGCAATTTAGCAAGATAATATTTCTGATATATGCTGCATAGATGCCCATTATTTCTGAGATATTGATACGCAATAACTGAAAAAGTGATTTTTTCTCTCCAAAATCACTTTTCAAAAGTGCTTTTTTATTCTAAAATTACTTGTTTTCAAAAGCCATTTTCTCGACTATCCTTCATCATGAAACTATGCTAATAAATAATTAACAAGTTGATTCATAAACAAAGAATGGGGAAGGGATTATCGGCGAAACCAAATGCAGTGGTGGCGTAATTCCGGCGTGGGAAGGTGTGACTCCGGTGGTTTGCGGCGCAACAATGAGGACTATTTTACGGTTGTTCTCGCATTTTGGCGAGTTCTCTCTTCTTTATTTTTTGCGATTTTTCTTCTTCTTCTTCTTTCAGTTTGATTTTTGTTGCAGATTTGTTGTTGTGTTGATTCATTGTTGTTGCTGATTGATGCTCAATTTGCAGTTTGTGAATTGGTGGAGAGTTGTTGTTGTTATTACCATTTCGCGCCTTGCTCACCACGTGCTCGATGAAATTTCTAAGCCGGGTTCTTGCTTCACTTTCTTGTATATGTTTCTTGCTGCTGTTGTGATTCGTTGTAATTGTGGTTTTGGTGTTAAGTTCTTGAAGGTGATGATGATAATGGAGGAAGTTTGAAGTTGGTGATGGTGGAACTGCAAGTTTGGAAATATTATGATTATGGAGATTTCATGAAGATGAAGATGAAGATTGAATTGGTTTATTCAATGGAGATGAATATGAATTTGATGGAGATTAAGGAAATTGGGGATTTGAAGAAGATTGAAGAAATTTTTGAGAGTGAATTTGTGAAGATGAATATGCAGAAGAAGTGGTTTGAAAAAGAGTGATGAACTTGTGAAGTGATGATGAATCCATGAAGAATTGGTGAAGTTTGGTTTTATAGATGGAGTTGTGTTAGTGCGTGAGACACTTTTAGTAAGGAGAGAAAGAGAGAGCGAATAAGGAAATAAGGATTGATATTATTAAACGGATAAAAATTGAATTACATGATGTCCTATTTATATATAATTAACTAACTTGTATACTAAGTAACAAACCCTAACCCTAATTGACTTTGGGCTTGGGCCACACTACTTGAATTTTATCACAACATATCCCCTATAATCCAAGTTGTCAAACATACGCTAATCATGGTCGATCTGAGCTATTCCTAATTTCTTTCTCAAATTCAGGAATATGTTGATCTTCAATCCTTTGGTGAGAATTTCGACCAAATGTGCTTCGCTTGAGCAATGACTTACTTCAAGTTCACCTCGATTTACGTTCTCCCTTAAGAAGTAAAATCTAGCTTTGATGTGCTTACTCCTTCCATGCAGAACTAGATTCTTTGTAAGATTAATGGCTGACTTGTTGTCGATCTGCAGTACCAGAGGTTTCTTCACTTCGTCATCATGCTATATATTCAGCCTCACATGATGACGATGCCAACACATGTTGCATTGTCGAGCACCGTGAGATTGGGGCACAAAAAATTGAAATAAATAATCAGTTGTGCTTCTTTAATCTTCCTTATCTCCACACCAATCAACATCTGAATAGCAATTAATCACAACTTCTTTGCTTTCAGAGTCTTATCGAAGTTGAATTTCATAGTTTATCGGTCCTTTTAAGTATCTCAAGATTCTTCTTGCATCCTTCGTGTGTGACACCCTTGGTTCACACATGTATTTTCTCACTAATCCAACCGACAAACCTATATTAGGTAGACTATTTCGCACATATCTCAGAGATCCGACACTTTGTTTGAATAGAGTGACATCGACTTTGTAATCCTCTCCATGCTTCTCCAGCTTCAAATTTGGTTCGACATGTGAGGATGCAAGATTTGAATAATCCATTATGAATCTTTTGAGTATCTCTTTGAAATACTTTCTTTGACGCATCACCATACCTTTCTTGGTAATTTGAAATTCCATGCCTAGGAAATAATACAAGTTTTCCATATTCGACATTTCAAATTCCCTCATCATCATCTTTTTGAACTTCGACAAGCTATTTCTAGTTACCAACAAGTCATCGACATATAAACATATGATTTATATATTTTGTTCCACAACCTGAACATAGATATCATACTCAGATTTGCATTTGACAAATCCCAATTCGACTATGTATGAGTTGATCTTCTTGTTCCACGCTCTAGGTTCCTGCTTGAGGCTATAGAATTCTTTGTGCAACTTGTATACTTTCCTTGCTTCCTCCTGAATCACAAAATCATGAGGTTGTTTGACATACACATCTTCATCTAAAAGACCATTAAAAATTTTTGATTTCACATCTAAGTAAAATGTCAAACAACCTTGCTTACATGTCAAGGCTACCACTAGTCGAACAGTCTCTAATATTTCTACTGGAGCATATACTTCAGAGTAGTCAGGTTCTGATCTCTGAAGAAATCCACGAGCTACTAATCTTTCCTTATGTCTTGCTATCGACCCATCAACAATGTGCTTCAACTTGAGCACCCACTTCACTTTGATAGCTTTTGTGTGTGCTAGCAATTTTGACTAACTCCCATGTGTTGTTTCTTTCGAATGCTTTTAAATCTTCGACCATAGCAAACTTCCATTGTTTATTCTTTAAATCCTTGCTATAGTTGATTGGTTCAGCACCTGCAAGTAAAGCAAAGTGAACTAATTCTCCATCTGGTATGACTTCATCATCCCTAGTCACTTCATAATCTTGAAGTCATGTTGGACAAACTCTAGTTATTTGAGTACTTAGGCTTGTGCTAGTCACACCTCTTCAACTTCAAAAGTCTCGGGAATGTTAGAAATTACTTCGACTTCAACTTCAACTGGAATATCAACAATTTCTTTGACTTTGACCTCATGAAGTAATTCATCAAAGCCATGGCTCATCAATGGCTTGTCAATTGCATCATTAGAATTCCAATCCCAGACAATTTTCATCAATCACAATGTCTCGACTCATCACGATCTTCTCATTAATTGGATTGAATAACCTACATGCTCTAGTTTTATGATATCCTACCAAAATCGTAAGTTCACTCTTGTCATCAAGCTTCCTTCTTTTCGCATCAAGAATATGCTTGTAACAAATAGAGCCAAACACCTTCAGATGACTCACTGATGGTTGATTGCCACTCCATACTTCTCCATGAACCTTAATCTTCAAATTCTTGGTAGGGCTCTTCTTTAGAATATAAACATCAGTGGTGACAGCTTCACCCCATAAAGATTTTAGCAGATTCTTCTACTTCAACACGCATCTCGCCATATCCAATAAGGCTATGTTTCTTTTTTCTGCTATTCCATTATGTTTATGAATATAAGGAGCATTTACCTCATGATTAATGCCATGTTCTGCATAAAACTTTTCAAACATCTTGGACATATATTCGCCACCTCCATTTATTTGTAGAACTTTGATCTTCTTCCCACTCTGCTTTTCGACTAGCATCTTGAATCTCTTAAAGATTTCCAATACTTCGTCTTTTCCCTTAGTCAAATAGATCCAAAGCTTTCAACTATACTCATTGAAAAATTATATGAAATATCTGTTTCCACCAATGGTATTCTCCTCAAAAGGCCACATACATCTAAATGTACAACTTCAAGTATGCAGAAGGATCTCATTGTGAAACGAAATAATTTAAGTATTGCTTCCCTACTATGCAACCTTCACAGATTTTGTCGGACATCATATGACTTGGTATACATGTTACCATATCTTGAGCGATCAGTTGATTGAGCGACCTAAAGTTCAGATATTCAAACCTCAAATTCCATAACCAATTATTCTTGTGGTCGACAACTATTTTCAGACATTGTACCTCCATCAAACTGATCATGGTGTTAAATTTTCTATTCTTCGACAAAGGAGATTTCAATACCAAATTATCCTAAGTGTCGAACAACTCCAAAGCTCCATCTTTCATAACCACTGAGAAACCTTTTTCGACTAGTTGTCCAACACTTATTAGATTACACTTCATTCCAGGCATATAGAGTACATCTTTGATAATAGCTTTCGCTTCATTGCTCCTTTCAATAATTATGTTTCCAATACCTTTTGCTCGCAACAAGCTATTATTTTCTAGTTTGACCTTTCTCTTCTTCGACTCGTCAAAATCTGCCAACCACACATTTCGACCAGTCATGTGATTCGAGCACCTAGGGTCAAGGAACTAGATCTTGGATTCGACATGGTTATATTCAACTGTATCTATAACCACCATATCTTTAGAATCATCTTAATCTTGGCGGGCAAGGTTTGCTCCTTCAACCTTGCCTTTTGTCAATCCCTTGTCTTTCCTGTACTAACAATTCTTAGCCAAGTGACCCCATTTTTCACAGTTATAGAACTGCACACCTTTTTTCTCTTCTTTCTATTTTGGATAGGTGTTTCCTTATCCTCTTTTCGAGGATTCAGAAGCCTTATGTTCAACCTTGTGCTTGTGAAGGGTTCAACCAAGACTTCATAATCTGAGTCTTGTCTCCTTTGCCTTTAAACTTATTGGAACCACCATGCTTCTTCCATTCTCGTGCCTATAGATCTTGTACCGAATCTTGAATCCATTCCTTTCAACGATACTAATCTCATGCCCCTCCAACAAACCAACCAAATCTTCCAGTTTTAGGGTTTCAAGATTGTAGGATTCTTGAATAGTTATGATAACGTGATCAAAATGATAGGTCAAAATGTGCATTACCCTATCTACTATCATCTTATCAATTAGGGTTTCACCATAACCCTTTATGAGATGGAAGATACACTACACCTTTGACATATATCTTGCAATCTTTTTATCTTATCCCATTTGCAGTCATTCATACTACCATCGCAAAGTATGCAATTTAATGATTTTGACTTTATCACCTCCTTCATAGTAATTGACAAGAATATCCCATGCCTCTTTCGCCGATTCAATGTGAGAGATCTTGTCAAAATTCTCCGAATCTATCACCGATTGAATGCAATACAAAACTTTGCAATCTTTCTTCTCCGCATCCTTGTGTGCATTTTTTTGCGCGTCGGTTGCATCTTGAGCAAGCTCATGAACACCATTTTTGACCATTTTTTTGGGTTTCATGAAAACTGAACAAGGACTTCATATTCTTACTCCATCAGTTCCAAATTTTTATGTCAATAATTGTAAGAGAGTTCATAATTCCATTCATATCATTCATATTTGCAGCGATTGATTCACGTTCCCTAGAAACACGACCACCAACGCAAAGTTCTTGAAAACACGATCACGAACACAAACCAGAAGCTCTAGATACCAATTTGTTAGTGCGTGGGGAACTTTAGTAAGGAGAGAAAGAAAGCAAATAAGGAAATAAGTTTTGACATTATTGAATGAATAAAAACTGAATTACATGATATCATATTTATATACAATTAAGAAACTTGTATACTAAATAACAAACTCTAATCGTAATTCACTTTGGGCTTGGGTTACACAGGTTAGATTATATCACAAAAACTTGGATCCAAAATTAGTTAGATTATTTAGTTAGTGGTGGTTATAGTTTGAAGTTTTGGCACACACAATAATAGAAGTCAAGAATGATGTCTCAATAATGCACAATATCACGACAGATGTTACAACATCTACTGACATAAAACAAACTTGCTAAAACCAAAAAAGATTGTGCAGAAAAGTAAATTGCAGAAACTTAAAGAATACAATCAATTGTTAAACTAGTTCGGCAACTTCACCTACTCTGGGGGCTACCAAGCCAAGAAGGAAATCCACTATCAATAATATCAATTAAAAGCTAAAAAAATCCCTGTGTGCACTTCTCACTTAATACCCACCCAATGTAATTTCTACCTAGAAACTTCCTATATATGAGAA